TGAAGCTTCTTGGATGAGAGGTGAAACATCTTCGACCTAGAAATCTAGTCCAATTGATTTTTTTCTAAGTTTTTTTCAGCTCACTATGACCTGGATGACTGAGAATCTGCACAGACAGACCACCCATCGTTTAGTGTTCATTGATCAAACTGCCACCTGAGAAACACACACACAAACCTGGTTTCTATCACATTCCATGCAGGCAGGGGTTGACCTGTTCTCATCAAATGGCCAATAGGATTATGAAGTGTGAAATGTGGTACCTCTGTCCAGGGCGGGCCTAGCCCAAGGAGATAAATGTATTGAGAACACGTAACTCAGGGTTCAGAGAATGGATTTCCTGCGGGAGCTCTTTCGTTCTGACCCCAGTGCTGTAAGACTTTACCTGTGCCCAGACTTTGAATAAACTTCCTGTTGATTTTATACAGTCCTCTCCTGTCTTCACTTCTCGTGCTTTTAATAAAAGAATTTGGGTAAAATCTAACACTACATAAATGAAGGTTGGTGCACAGATGTCACAGTGCTACAGAGGACATGTAACACAGACTTAGAGACTCTTGTTATCAATTGCAAACCTTTTTATTCTTGTGAATTTAACAGTTTCATGCTAATCTGAGTGTACATAAGTCCACAGGCCCACACTAGCGCACTACAGCTCCTAGCAGAACAGATAACTAGCCTGAAGCTAGAACGTCCCGACTTTCCACTCATTGTTCTAGGGGACTTTAACAGAGCAAATCTCTCCCATGAACTGCCCAAATAAAGACAGCATGTTACCTGCCCTACCAGGGACAAAATCGCATTGGACCACTGCTACACAGCAATAAAACACGGCCATTGCTCTGTCCTCCGCACAGCCCTTGTACTCTCTGATCAATGTATGATTCATCGTATTCCAACCTAAAGGCAGAAACTAAAAGCTGTGAAGTTTGTGGTGAAAACGGTGAAGAGCTGGACGGAGGAGTCTAAGTTAGAGCTACAGGCCTGCTTTGACTGCACAGACTGGAGTGTATTTGAGACTGTAGCTCCAGACCTGGACAAACTCACTGGCATGGTGACAACTTATATTAGCTTTTGTGAGGATGTGTGTGTACCCAAAAAGTCCTTCTGCACATACAACAACAACAACAACAAGCCCTGGTTCACAGCCAGACTCAAGTAGCTTCATCGTGCCAAAGAGGAGGCTTGCAGGTGTGGGGACAGGACTCTGTATAGCCAAGCCAGGAACACACTGACAAGGGAGATCAGAGCAGCAGGGAGATCAGAGCAGCAAAGAGGAGCTACTCTGAAAAGCTGAAAGCTCAGGTTTCAGCCAACGACCCCTTGTCTAGGTGGGGGAGCCTGAAAACCATCTCTGTCTATAGAAAACCATCCCCTTCTGCTGTGGAGGACCATCAACAACCTGAATGTGTTCTACTGCAGATTTGACAAACAACACCCCCCCCAGCCCCCCACCTTTAACGATCTGTGAAAAGGATGGGCGTGGCCTCTTTAAAAGACAGAAGATCAGAAAAGCACCAGGCCCAGATGGTGTGACCCCCTCCTGCTTCAAAGTGTGTGCTGATCAGCTGGCCCCCATCTTCACACTTATCTTCAACAGATCAGTGGAGCTGTGTGAAATCCCTTCCTGCTTCAAATGCTCCACCATCATTCCAGTCCCCAAGAAAACCTCCATCAGTGGACTGAACGATTACAGACCTGTTATCCTGACATCTATAGTTATGAAGTCCTTGGAAAGACTCAGTGACATCGTAGACCCCCTGCAGTTCGCCTACCGGGCAAACAGGTCAGTGGACGATGCGGTGAACATGGCACTGCATTACATCCTGCAACATCTCGACTCCCCAGGGACCTATGCACGGGCCCTCTTTGTGGACTTCAGCTCGGCATCCCTCTGTTGTCTCCGGTACTTTTTACCATGCTAACTCTGAGAGACGAAGCAGTCCAAATAACTTCAAAACAGTGCTGATTTATTCAATGAACACAGGTAAAAATTAACACCCAGCTCACTGTGCCTGCCCCCACCTGTCAGTGGATTACTAGCTTTCTGACAGACAGGAAGCAGCAGGTGAGGCTGGGGAAAACCACATGCAGCACCCGGACAATAAGCACAGGCACCCCCCAGGAATGTGTGCTCTCCCCTCTGCTGTTTTCACTCTATACCAATGACTGCATCTCAAAGGACCACTCTGTCAAGATCCTCAAGTTTGCAGATGACACAATGGTCATTGGTCTCATCCGAGACGGTGACGAGTCACTTTACAGATGGGAGGTTGAGCAGCTGGTCCTGTGGTATAGCCGCAGCAGCCTGGAGCTGAACATGCTCAAAACAGTTGAGATGACAGTGGACTTCAGGAAGAGCCTGTAAGAGACACAGCTGGATGGATGGATGGAGGGATACATGTGTGTAGAGATGTGCTTTTACCTCGCTCTGCAGTTCAGAAGCTTGCAAAATCTCCAGAGCCTCAGGAAGAGTGGAATATACAGCTTATTTTGTTATATTGCACAGCCTTTTGCTGGTTTACTGTTTACTTGCCCCTTCCATGGGGATATGTACATACACATTGAGAGCCGATGTACCAGAGTCAAATTCGTCAAATTCTTCATGTGTCTGACACACCTGGCCAACAAAGCTGATTCTGATTCTGACCTCTGAATGACCTAGTATAATAATCATGCTCTTTGTGTGTTTTAGATTAGGTGCCTGTGGTGACAGAATCATAATTACACAACTAACAGTGTTGTGTTTCTTTTTCTTTTTCAGGTTAAATACAAGGGAAATGTGAAGACAGAGATCTCCTCCTCGCTCTATTCCCTTCTGCCAGAAACCACCGAGACGCAGTTTGTCAGAGAGCTGACTGAGATGCTGAGCGAGGTTAGATGTGATGGGTGGATGGATGACATAATAGACGGATGTGTTCTAAAGGCTCTATTCTATTATAAAGCCACGTCTGGTTCTTTCAAACCAGGAACTCAGTGAGACGAAGCAGACCACTTGAGTATATAAAAAAACATAACCGTGCTGGTTTATTCAAGGAGTCACAGGCAAGAATTAACATTACACGTCCAGGCATCTTCCACCCCCAAAACTGCGCGCAGGCAGCCCGGAAGAAGAAAGACCCTGAACCCAAGATCTCTATACAATTTAATCACTTCGTTGGGCTAGCCCCATCCTACACAGGCCACGTCAAACCGTGACGTCACCTGATATGCCAGCTATGCAGCTGACCAGAGCAGTAGTCAAACATGGAGAAAATTCAAGTGTGTGGCTGTTGATTAGTGGTGTGTATCTAAAAACATACAGGACATTCAGGGACATGTCCGAACAGTAAGCCTCGGAAAATGTTATGATTAAGATTACGGCTGAGGATATCATGCTACTAGCAATATTCATCTGCACTCTTCAATCTAGTGAGCTTGGCCTAGATGCAGCCTGCAGAACTCATGACAATGAACTGAGCATTTAACAGCCTGAGCTAGACATCCTGTCTCCACTAAACATTTCTAGACAACAAATCTCTGAATATCTATCTAACTAAGAAATTACCTAACAGTTCTGATAATGGATCAATGTTGGATGGATGAACAGATGAATAGACTGACAAACAGATGGCTGGAGGGAAGGATGGATCACTGAATTGATTAATGGAGGGACTGAATAAATGGATGGATGATAATGGATGGGCTATTGACTGGATGGATGGAGTGATAGATGGCCAGGAGATGGAAGGATGGGGGGGCTGAGGAATGGCTGCATGGATGAATGAATAGATAGGTGGATGGAAGAGAAGACTGGTTGATCAATTGATGGATAGAAGGGTTGTTATGCTTGGGTTTAGAGGGGCATGGTAAATTACTCTGAACAGGAAAAGAGGATGAATTTTCTGTTGCGCTCGTTTTTTCTACACTGAGAAAATGCCACAGTCACCTCAATTAACGTAGCCGTTCACTAAAATATTGTAACATTAAGGAGAAAAACTGCTATAAATTGGTAAAACATCAGTTTTTCATCCCAGACTTTATTCAAATGTAATGTGTCAAAGTCTAGACTTTTTATTGCAGTGAAACTTTCTATCTCTGCTCCTCAGAACAAGTACAAGGAGGAAGGCAAGAAGGAGCTGAGCAGCAGTTTGTACTCTCAGCTTCCTGAAACCGCCGAGATGCAGCTGGCCAAGACTGTCCGCGAGTTCCAGAGCGAGGTACTCAAATCAAACATGCTCATCAGTCTGAATTATACGTAGTTGATCGGTTAACTCCAGTCTGAGATCAACACAGGGTTTACATTAGGCAGCAGCTGCTGGTTTGGCTGAGAGGTGTCCTGCTGCACATGAATTAAACACATAAAGATAACAAGGAGAGTTGGTGTTGCACTGTCAGATCCCATCTGATTATATCTGACTGAATCTGTTGTGTTTTAGAAAAAGTACAAAGAGGAGGGGAAGAGAGAGGCCTCCATCTCCCTGTACTCCCAGCTCGCCGATACTCCAGAAATACAACATGCTCTGGAGGTGTCACAGCTGCAGAGTGAGGTATGCACAAACACACAGTGTAGATTTCTCAGGTCAATCCTACTGCAGCCCTGCGTTCCATACAGTGTGGAGGTTTGAAAAACATTTTGGTGGCTGTAATCATTCCTCCTCTCAATTCTTCTGACGAGGAAAGATCGTCCAGAGTTGCACTCGGTTACAAATTCCTGAAAGGCAGTCACAGCTGCCATAGCAGCGACAACAGCTACGTCCTAAACCCATGCTCCTCCACATACTGACTCTTTGTTGGATTTCCAGCGTGTGTTTCAACACTTTGTCGGTGTTCATGCAGGTTGAGGGATCAGACCTTAGTGGTTACTGAGTTCATGTGGAACACCTTTGTGCTTCTGGCTTCTTCTGTCCTGATTGGTCTTCACTGATGTAGCCTGACTGTGTGTAGAATTACAGGGTGTGTAAGCTGTGCTAGCGATGGTCTTTAGAATGAAATTCACTTTATCACTCTTAACACATGGAATAAATGTACGTTTTTAGCACCTTAAGAGTCTCTTTGCTGCTGTGTCGGTGTGTGGGTCATGTTGTTTTTGGATGCACACACCTGATATCAGCATGTGATATGCCTAGAATTATGAGTCCAAACCAGAGGTGTAATGTAACGAAATATTACATACAGTACTTAAGTATTTTTGGGAGTATCTGTACTTTACTTGAGGTTTTAAAATTTTGTGAACTTTTACTTCACTACATTTCCTAAATAAAATGTGTACTTTTACTCCGATACATTTCCACCTCTGCCTTTCCGTTACTTACTACAAAATTAAAAGGGAAAAAAGTCACGGTAAAGTAGGTTTCTAACTGTTGTGTTCTTTACTGTTGCAGTAATGTATCGCTATAAATGTAGGGTGAGTACCTCATTAATCAACGCTGTTCTGTAATAACACACGAAGACCAGGCTTGTCCTCAAGCGGTGAACTCTTTTACTGTCCCACTCAGGGATCTAACACACAGGCATAACCAATCAAAACATGAGCAACCAATCAGCCGCAGTTAAACAATGTCGAGCACCGAGTGCTCGATGAAATCCACCACACTAACCAGTGACGTCAGGTTACAGTACAAGCACAGGCCTGTTTGGTGTAAACAGGCGCAAGAAAGCGGCTCCTCGCCAAAGCTCTCATGAAAGCTGCACCGTCATCTAGCAGCACAGGTGCTGGCCCACCTACGTCTCTAGTAGACTCGGATGACCACCCGTGGCCATATCTGCAAGAGATGTTTTCATTTCTTGGCGTGAAGGATTCCTCATACCGAATGAAGTGTCTCTTATGCCTGGCGAAAGACACTGAAATACTGGCTTTCAAAAACTCACCATCCAACCTCAAGAAACACATTGAGGTAAGTTAATTAAAGTCATATGTGATTAATATATTGAGCACTTATTAGCAAATGTTATGTCATAACAGTAGGCTGTCTGATTGTTTTTGCTAACATTAACGTTAGCTGTAAACGAAGCTGAGACGTCTGGCTAACGTGGTTATTAGCTAACGTTAATTAGTCACTGGTCACTTAGCTAACGTTAATTAGTCACTGGCCACTTAGCTAACGTTACGTTTTTCCGTCTGTGTCTGTTGCTTCCAAAACAATGTTGATGACTTTCATACTTAATCTATTACATTACACTTGCATAAGTTAAGCTATTTAATTTATGTTAAATTAGCCTCATGTTCCACTTGTTCTTCCACTAATTAACAATGAATTAACACAGAATACATAACAGGCAGAAGGTGATTAAAAATATAAATTAAGCAGTTATAATGGGTATGTCTGTGACTAGAGTCTAGGCTAACATTATTCATGAAAGTGAATTAAATCACAGATATAAGTGGTAAAAACTAGTTAGTTAATAAGTTAATGAGATCCTTTAACAAATGTTTTAACTTGGATATTGGGATGTGACCTGCTAACCATCATCAGACAAACAGTTATATATAAGTGCCCTAAATGACATTCATTCCATCCATCCATGCATTTTCCTCCACTTATCCGGTACCGGGACTCGGGGGCAGCAGTCTAAGCAAAGATGCCCAGACTTCCCTCTCTCCAGACACTTCCTCCAGCTCCTCCGGGGGAATCCCGAGGCGTTCCCAGGCCAGCCGAGAGACATAGTCCCTCCAGCGTGTCCTGGGTCTTCCCCGGGCCCTCCTCCCGGTGGAACCTGCCCGGAACCCTGGGTCTTCCCCGGGGCCTCCTCCCGGTGGGACATGCCCGGAACACCTCCCTAGGAAGGCGCCCAGGAGGCATCCGAAACAGATGCCCGAGCCACCTCAGCTGGCTCCTCTCGATGTGGAGGAGCAGCAGTTCTACTCTGAGCTCCTCCCGGGTGACCGAGCTCCTCACCCTATCTCTAAGGGTGCGCCCGGCCGCCCTGCGGAGAAAGCTCATTTTGGCCGCCTGTATCCGGGATCTTGCCCTTTCGGTCATGACCCAAAGTTCATGACCATAGGTGAGAGTCGGAACGTAGATTGACCAGTAAATCGAGAACTTCGCCTTACAGCTCAGCTCCTTCTTCACCACGACGGACCGGTACATCGACCGCATTACTGCAGAAGCTGCACCGATCCGCCTGTCAATCTCCCATTCCATCCTTCCCTCACTCGTGAACAAGACCCCAAGATACTTGAACTCCTCCACTTGAGGCAGGAACTCTCCACCATTCATTCGGGGGAAGGTTGTCAGAACAACAACAGACAATGGCACAAACTTCCTAAAAGCTTTCCAAGTGTTTGGGGAAGATGAGAATAATAGTGGAGACTGCTGATGATGACAGGTCAGAGGAAGAAGAGGATCAAGAGGGGGCTGATGATGTGGAGTTTGTGGAAGTGTCAGCACTTCTGAATGAAGATGATGGCTTTGAGTACCAGCTCCCGAAGCACCAGTGCTGTGCTTGTCATTTACTGAACCTCATAGCTACTGTTGATGCAGCAAAAGCAGTATCGAGTGAAGGATACAAGAAACTGTATCATTCAACATTTGCCAAGTGCAATGCCATGTGGAGCAAATGTGGAAGATCCACACTCGCAGCTGAAAAAGTTGAAGATGTTTGCTCTCTTCAGCTGCTGTGCCCAAATGCCACAAGGTGGAACTCCTTGTTTCTGGCAGTGGAAAAACTTCTCAGGATAATTAGAGACAAGGGAGAGGCAGCCATCAGAGTCATCTGTACGGACTTAAATGTTCCAATCTAAGTAAGAATTATGTATGTCTTATATTTTAAATGTCTTTAAAACTTGGATGTGTTTTACTGCACTTTCTTAAGCACAAATTACTGTTTTACATTGT